AGTAAATGACCAAACTAATCTAATGTTCGATTAAGCCAAAAATACAAGCTTTTGTGATAAGAACTCACTATTTGACAAAAATTTCTTGAAAAACTGGAAAGCAGATTGGAAGAGACTAGGCATAAACCAACATCTCACACTCTATAGCAAGATAAGGTCAAAATTTAAAAATAATTTAAACATAATGGATGATATCATAAGTAAATGTGGGGAACATAGAAAATGTTTCTGTCAAATCTATGAGCAACAGAAGAGCTTGTGACCCAACAAGAGATGGAGAGGATCACAACAATTAAAATGGATAACTCTGAAATTAAAAGGTTTTTTCACAAACAAAACTAAGACAGCCAAAATTAGAAAGAAAACAGGAAACAGGACGGGGGGTGGGAAGATTTATAGCAAGTTTGTCTGACAAAGGCCTCATTTCCCAAATACATAAGAAACTGAGTCAAAATTATTTTTAAAAAATCCATTCCCCAATTGATAAATGATCAAATGATATGAACAGACGGTTTTCAGGAAAAGGAATTTAAGCTATCTATAGTCACATAAAAATGCTCTAAATCATGACAGATGAGAGAAATGAAAATAAAAACAACTCTGAAATACCACCTCACACCTATCAGATTGGCTAACATGACAGAAAAGAAAAATAACAAATGCTGCAGGGGGTATGGAAAAAATGGGACAATAATGAACTGTTGGTGGAGTTGTGAACTAGTCCAGCAATTCTGGAGAACAATTTGAACCTTTGCCCACAGGGGTATAAAACTGAACATACCTTTTGATCTAGCAGTACCACTACTAGTTCTGTATTCCAAATAATTTTTTAAAAGGGAAATAGATCTTTTTATACAAAAATATTTATAGCAGTTCTTTTTGTGGTGATGAGAAATTTTTTTTTTTGAGTTCCAAATTCTTTTGCTCCCTCTCACTGGACCCCTCTCCTTAGGGAAGTGAAGCAATTTGATGTCAATTATACATGTAACTGAGAAATATTTAATGAAATAAATTAAAAAATAATAGAAATAAAAATTCCAAGATTTTTTTTTCAGAACAGTTAGATCAATTCATAGCTCTACTAGCAATGTTAAATCATTAAGTAAAATCATTAGTGGAGCTGCAAATCCATAGAACCATTCTGGAAAGCAATTTGGAATTAAACAAGGAAAAGACTAAAATATCTATATCCTCTGATTCAGACTTTCCCCTGCTAAACATAAACAGTACACAAGGAGTTTAATGACAAAAAGGACAATGTAGACATCAAAATATTTATAATATCTCTTTTGTGGTAGCAAAGAACTGAAAATAAAGTAGATATTCATCACCTGGAGATAGGCTAAATAAGGTATGGTATATGAATGTAATGCAATATTACTAGACTGTAAGAAAAACTGAGCAAAATGGATACTGAGAAGAAGCATGGCAGTTAGATGGCATAGTGGTAAATCACTAGATTTAAAGTTCACAAGACCTGAGATCAGATTCTTCCTCAGGGACTGAACAACCATGACCTTGGGAAAGTCATTTAACTCCTCTGAACCTCAATTTACTCATCTATAAAATGAGGCTAGTAATAGGACCTACCTCACAGGGTTATTATAAGGATCAAATGAGATAATATCTATGTAAAGCACTTGACAAGCCTTAAAGCACTTAATAAATATTAATGTAGGTTTCTATGAGTGTTACCCATGTAAGTTATATGTAGTATGTCCACACGGGTTTGTCTAAATTCACCTCAAGGAAGATGTGAATAAATATCTACGGAATCTTTCCCACCCCTCTTGAAGTGAGACTTTTATTTCTTCTTTGAGTGAAACAGGATATTGGGGCCATAAGGCTAACCACTCTGCTCTACTCAGAGAGGAGGTGTGTATTTCCCTCCATTCTATTTTTCCCCTGTTTATCCTTCTCTCTCTCCCCTTTCACCCTGTCCCTCCTCAAAAGTGTTTTGCTTTTGACCACTACTTCCCCTAATCCACTCTCCCTTCTATCAGCCCTATCCCTCCTCCCACTTTCTCTTATCCCTTTCCCCTCCTACTTCCCTGTAGGGTAAGATAGATTTCTATACCCAACTGAGTTTGTGTGTTATTCCCTCTTTCAGCCAATTCCAATGACAGTAATGTTCAAGCATTGTCTGCTGTTCTCCCTACCCTTCCATGTGAGATAATTTACCCCATTCTACCTCTCCCCTTCCCCTTCTCTCAGTGGATCCCTCCTTCTTACCACTTAATTTTACTTTTCCATCATGGTCATCCCTCTTCATCACTCCTTACATTTTCTTTAAATATTATCCCATCATAGTCAACTTATACTGTGCCCGCTGTCTATGTATACTCCTCCTAACTGCCATAATAATGATTAAGTTCTTAGGCGTTACAAGTATTATCTTCTCACGTAGGAATATAAACAGTTTAACTTTATTGAACCCTTTATGATTTCTTTTTCCTGTTTACCTTTTTGCACTTGAGTTTCATATTTGAAAGTCAAATTTTCTATTCAGCTAAAGTTTTTTTCATGAAGAATGCTCTTTTGATTGAATATCTGTTTTTCCCCTGGAGGATTATACTGTTTTGCTGGGTAGATAATTTTTGGTTGTAATCCTAGCTCCTTTTCTTTCCAAAACATCATTTCCAAGTTCTCAGATCCTTTAATGTAGAAGCTTCTAAATCCTGTGTAATTCAGACTGTGGCTCCATGATATTTGAAATGTTTCTTTCTGACTGCTTGCAATATTTTCTCCTTGACCTAGGAGTTATAGAATTTGGCTATACTATTCCTGGGAGTTTTCATTTCAGGACTGCTTTCAGGAGGTGATCAGTGGATTCATTTGATTTCTATTTTACCCTCTTATTCTAGAACATCAGGGGAGTTTTCCTTGATAATTTCTTGAAAGATGATATCTAGGTTTTTTCTTTTATTTTGGCTTTCAGGAAGACTAGCACCTTTAGTGTGAGGGCTTACCAAGCTCTTTTCATGGCTGCTTATCCGCCTTTGGTCTCCACTTTCACCCAACTCTCACCTGTGGCTCCAAGAAGCTAAAGCATGTGCAGCAGCCACAGCCCTATAAAACCATCCCAGCAGATGGGCTAAACCAGGATGAGGGTAACTTGACAGGCCTCAAATGTGTTGGTGAGTTAGAGGAATGTCTACCCCAAGCATATGAAGACTTCCCCCTGCAGAATGGGTGAATGAGAACAGTTTATTCCAACAGCCATGAAGGTGGCTGAAGCAGGTGCCATGGAGCACTTAGAGCTTGGTCAGGCATCAGAGATGCCAAGGTTTCCCAAGCCATCACCAGTCAGTCATCTTGACTTTTGTCCCCTGCCACTGCTCTTCAATGACTCAGGATGAAAGCATGAGGCTAATGACTTTGCATAGCTCTGCCTCACTTAAATCCAATTCATATGCAAATCAAGACATCACCCATAATGTCATTCGTCCTCTTCAAAAATGAAAGATGAATAACAATCTCAGAGAGGAAGTAAAAGGCTAGAATTATATCTATCTATGCCCCCTAAATACTTCTGATTTAGAGGAAGTTCATTTTGGGTTCAAGTCACTTTGGGTTTCAAGTCTCTGTCTCTTAATGGGGAAAGAATACTCCAAACTATATCTGAAGATTTGATTCTCTTCCTATGAAATGTTAGATATACAAAGATGATCACAATATTGAATAGTGAATTAATGCATTTATCCAGTCTGATAACCAACAGAAACCACAACAAATTACATCTCTCACTGAGAGTGAGATATCCTATTACAAATGAGAGAGAGGAGAGAGACAAACACAGAAAGAGAGAGAGAAAAAAAAAAAAGACAGAGACCTCCTCTCTACCAAAGGCAAATTATCTCAAATCTCTAGTATGGTAGCAGGAAGACACTACCAAAAAGTAGAACTTTATGCAAATTCCTAGGCTTGAATCCCTGGTTACATTAGCCATTACGTAATTGTCTTATGAACTGATGACAACTGAAGTAAGCAGGACCAGGAAAACAATATAAACAAATACTAAACCAATGTCAATGAAGAAGAACACCAACATGATGATGGCAAACAAATGCTTTGGAATTATAATAATCAAGCTTGATCTAGAGGAATAAATATGAGAAGACTCCTCCCTCAGTTTCATTTGCAAAGGTGGAAGATCTTCTTGTTCTTCAATCATTTCAGTCACGTCCAACCCTTTGTGACTACATTTGGGTTTTCTTTATTAGAGTGCAGGAGAGGTTTGCCATTTCCATCTCCAGCTCATATTACAGATGAGGAACTGAGGCAAACAGTGTTAAGTGATTTATCCAGGGTCACACAGCGAATAAGTGTCTGAGGCCAGATTTGAACTCAGGAAGATGATTCTTCCTGACTTCAGGCCTGGAACTGTATCCACTATACCACCTAGTTGTGCCTATGTGACCACAGACAAGTCATTTATCCTCACTAAGCCTCACCTGTCTCATCTGGAAAAGTGGGATAACAATACCTATCGAGCTCATCTTACAAAATGGTGCAATGTTGGGCAAGTAGCTAGCCCTTAGTATCCTCATCTGTAGGATATAGCAAGGATGTGGCCACACTCCCCAGCTAGAGCAGAGACAGAGGGACAAGGCTTGGTGATGCCCACATGACATAAGCTTTGATGAGAACACTACCTCATCTGGCACTTTTCTCAGTGAGAGGTAAAGAATCAATAACCATTTCAATTTACCTACTTTGGGGTTCAGGACTGGACAAGCCAAGAATCTATTAAACCTCAACTATTTCCAAAGAAAATGGAAATTCAAGGACACTTAAAGGCTTCAGCCCTAGATTTTCAAAGGGGGTGGTATAAAGGAGGGAGGGAGAACAAAAGAAAACCATCATCATTAGCAGATCTTTTCCCCAGTACCTTCAGCTACTCAGTAGCCTTTCCTGCACATGAGCAAACAGTAGACAATCATGTAACCCAAATATGCAACATGATGAATGCAGATGATAATAAAATTTGCACTCCTTACCTTATAGGGTTGTTGCAGGGAAAATGTTTTGTAAACCTTGGAGCCCTTTAGAAATATGCACTTGTACAGGACTGTTGAATCAAATGGGAGGGATCATTATCAACATCATCATCATGGGATAAAGTTGTATCCAAAGCTGTGTGACCTTGGGTTATGAGCTAGGGGTTAAGCTAGGACATAAAGCCCTTTGCTTCTTTCTTTCTTTTCTCTGGACTAATTGGTTGCTGAGCCAGCAATTTCATCTCATCACACTCCCTGAAGAGGTACTTCTACTAATTGAGGACCTTTCTAGTTCCAAGGACAATCAGTATTTCTTTAGCCCATAAGTCCCTCAAAGTCTCCAGATCATGGGTTAGCTGGCTGAGTCTGTGACCTAAGATTAGCTCCTTATCAGAAAACATCTTTTCTTTTATTGTACCATCACCAGCATTATAAATAAGGGGAGGAAATTACATTTCCAAAGGGATTTTTTCCTTCATCTAATTTAAAATGATTCTGAAACTGTGATTTTATAGCCTGTCAATCCACACTGCTGACATAATAATTGTGCCCTCCCTCCTGAAGCTGCTGTCCCCCTCACCAAGCAAATGTTTAAAGGTAAAGCAAAAAGAAGGGAATGTTTTGTATTCATACAGTTAATTGGAACTCAGGTGACACTCTTATTTTAAATCCAATGAAATCAGGTGGAAAATGTTTATTGATTACAGACAGTGGATAAGACAACATGGTACAGTAGAAAGACCACTAGACCTGGAGTCAAGAGACACAAGTTTGAATCCTAACTCTGTCACTCGCATGTTATGTGGCCTTAACTAGACAGACCAATAGATAGATAATGGATGGATGGATGGATGGATGGATGGATGGATGGATGGATGGATGGATGGACGGACAGATGGATGGATGGATAGAGGATGGACTGATGGTTTATAGAGCACTTATTTAGAGCTCACTGTGTGTTAGGTACTGTGCTAAATAATAAGGATATAAATACAAGCAAGCAAGAAAGCTCCTCCCATCAAGAAGCTTACATCCTACTGGGGAAGATAACATATAAAGAGGTCCTGAAACCCCTTGGACAAATCCCACCAGCGCTCCAAAACTCAGTTTCTACCAAATGCTATGTTAGGCACTTTTGAGAGAAGTAAATAACTGGAAGACAAGGTTTCTGCCCTCAAACAAGTTGCAATCCAGGTGAGCAAAGAATTATGAATATATGTCAAGTTGTCACAATAGAGGAAGACAATATTAGAAATTCCCCCCTGGTACTCCATGACTAACAAAGGAGAGGTGTAGACAAATAAGTGTCTAAGATTCATTGCATCTCAGAGCTAGATGGAACTTTGAGAAATCATATTGTTTATTCCTCTAATTATATAAATGAGAAAAGGGAAGCTCAGTGAGATGGAGTGAGCTGTGTGAGCTCACATGACTATTGCACGCTACAAGTTCAGAAGAGAGCGGACCCTAGGAGTGAGGTGGGGCATGGATTAGTTTAAAATAGCTTTAACTACTTAATCATGTAAGCCCCCAGGGGGTATAGACATGGTCTCCTAAAAACCTATGTTTAACATGGAGTTTTGCTAGGGCTCTGAATAAAACAAATGAATTCACTGGCTCACTATTAGGATATAATGAAATGTATCCATAAGGCCAAAATTGGAATCTGAGAATGTCAGAGCTGGAAGAGACTTTAAAGACATTCTAGTCTAATTCCACACACCCTTCATATTTACAGATTAAGAAACTGAGGCCCAGACAGGATAGTTTGCCCAAAGTCACCTAACTTTTTAGTAGCAGAGCAGGGACCAGAGCCTATGTCCCAAGTGCTAGACCAGGGCTCTTTCCCTTTAGGCATTCTGCTAAACCTATAATGAGTACCTCTTTTTCGGGTATATATATATATCTATTCATGGCCTCAAACCTCCCTGCAGTTCTTGATTTTCCTATCCAGATACAGAGAATAAAAATAAATAAAAATTATATTCAACTCAAGAAAAGGAAATCATTGAAACAAGCAGTGACAGCCGATCTGTCATGCAACCTTTTGAAATCCTCTTTGGACTTGTCATGTGTGAACATACTGAAGGGACACTGAAGTGGAACCAAGTGGACCAAAGAAAACCATGTGAGGTGAACTATGAAGCATTGCAGAAATCAATCCAACAAAGCCAGGTCAGTAACTTTGTCCACATGACTGGGGAAGAGCGTGGGCCATTAGCTTCACTCTGTACTGTTGCCAGCTGCTTAATCCAAAAAAAAAATCCTCCAGGCAAATCCAAATACTCTTTTCCCCTCCACAGAAATATTTGTTCTCCAACCTCAGTTAAACAAAGTACTGCTTACAGCTCAAGGAAGAGTGTGGTCTGTGTGTCAAATTAAAAGGAAGTTTTTAAATGGAATACAAAGTTTTCCATGTCATGTAAAATAATTTCATTATACAATTTATGACAAGAGACTAAAGCTTACTTGATCCATGCGTTATTTCTACCACTGGAGTCTGTGTCAACACAGTATCTCAGGAAAACAGAAATGCAGAGGCAGAAGAGGCCTCAGAAACCATCTCATCTAAGCCATGCCTGGATCAGATTCTCTTCTACAATATACCCATAAGTGGCCATCCAGCATTTTCCTGAAGACCTCCAGTGAGGGGAATGCACTGCCTCCTAAAGCAGCCCATTCTCATTTTGGAAATTATTAGTAAGCAAGATTTTGTTTTCTTCCCCCCACCACCACCACCGCCCTTCTCTCCTTATATCAAGCCCAAATCTGCATCTCAGCAACATCTCCTCTCTGTTCCTACCTCTGTTCTCTGGAGCTAAGAGAATGACCCTAATCCCTCTTTCTTGCAAGAGGCCTTTGAACACTTGAAGACAAGTATTATGTCTTTTCCAAGTCTGAGACAACATTTATGCATACGAGACCCAGGTGATGATTTTTGTAGGCAGGAAGCAGATTTCACAAACAAACGAGCAAATTACTGCTCTCGCTTTTCACAATGGTTGCTTTTCACGAGTTTTTCTAGAGTCTGCAGAGACAGGCTTTGTTGATAGAGAAGTCACCAGGCAAGTACTTCTGCAGGTGCTGCAGCCCTGTCTCCTCCGCAGCCTTGGCTGCTGAACACTCGGAAAAGAAAGTTCTCACCACCCAAAGCCTTGGAATAGTCAGTCATTCAGTATCAGAAGCAGATATGGTTTTACCAGTGGAACTAACCTTAAAGAGGATGTATCACCATCTACCTTGCCATTGTACAGGGTTCTTCTATATGACTTACAGCTGAAATCTTCTACGTGTGTTCCCTCTCTATTAAAATGTGAACTCCTTGAAAGCAGGGATTATCTTCCTTTTTTTTTTTATCTGTACCCTCAGCATGCACTTAGGATGGTGCTTTGCTCACAGTAAGTACTCAACATATGCTTTTTCATTCATTTATGAGCTTTGTTAGAACCTCACCACCAACATCTATTCTTCTTGCCTGCCTTCCAAGAACATTTGCCCTAAGGTGCCTAGATGACAGTGACCAAACAGAAATCTAAAGAGAGGTACCTAGATTTCAAAAATTATTTATGCTTAACTCATTTGCCATAAGGAGTAGACCAGACTTCCTCTTCTATCTCATGTTGAATGGTAATTGATCAGTAGCCCTAGCCCTTAGCAAAACTGTCAAATAGTATTTTACTTTGCTTCCCCTCCATCCATCCCTTTTCTGCACCTTATCCTCAACCCCTGGCATCCAGGATCTTCATACTGTTAATTTATGTAAGGTAGGTCAATTTATGGCCATTGACAAGACAGCTTCTAGGCAGCAGAATCATAATAGACACATGGAATATTAGCATTAAAAGGGACATTGAAAGAATCTCTGGGTCCAATGCACTTATCTTACGGAAAAAGAAACTAAGGTCCAGAAAGAGGAGGCAAGTTATCTAAACCCATAAAGGGAAAAAAAAACAAGACTGGAATTCAGGTCTAACTATTAATCAGATAGAAGAAGACTTTTCAAACATTAAAAAGAGGATAGTATATTAGGAGGAATAAAAAACCATGATTATACTTAGAGACTTGTTACTTCTTAAAACAATCACCATATCAAATAAATCACTGGATAAGAAAATCTCATTTCCCTTCCCACCCTACATCCCACTGATCACGACTTAAAGAAAGTCATGTAGACTATAAAGTCCAAAAGGGAAGCTCTGTTCCTGAAGTTGTACAGGCTAAAAATAGCCACAGTATAGTCATTTAGGTTTTGTGTTACCATTTGAATGAATGAATGAAAAAAGCATTTTAAGCATATATTATGTGCAAAGAACTGTACTAAGTACTAGGTGTACTCCTTGCTCAAGGAGTTCAGATTCTGCTCAGGGACACAGCCCATAGATCAAGTTTTAGTTTCAGGTCATTTGAAAAGGTCCTGTGGTCTTTAGGGTGTAGCAGCAAAACATACATCTTTTTTAATGTGGAACCATTTGATGGTGCCAAAAACTTTCATAGGGAGAACCTACTTTTATGGATCTTTAGTAGTTGTGACCATAGGTATAGAAGCAGGGGCTGTAGTGCTTGTAGGAGCAGATGCCATGTCTCAGCTCTACCTGGATTGAGTCCATAGATAATGGCTACAGGAGAAAGGTTGGAAGCAGGATTGGTGGTCTCAGTGACACTGTTATTCTTGTGGCTCTTGGGTTAGGGTACTGGATTATCTCTATTTGTGTTTTGACTCGCATGGAACATGCTATCTTTTATTTTTTCCCTCAAAGTGCCTTGTTGCTTCATGTAAACTCATTTTGTGCCTGTTAGTGGCAGTTGGTTGGCAGTTATTAATTAATTAACCAATTAATTTCATCATTAGAGAAAGTCCAGTCAGTTAGTAGATTTCTTAAATAGCACTGAGAATTAGCAGTGTGGAAAAGCTTAATGAATTTCAGAAAAGAACTAGGTTCTCATGCTCCAATGAATCTGCAGTCATTAATATGGGTCATTCCTTAATCAGTGCAAGGATGCCATCTCTCATCCAGTACAATTCTTGTCTATGTTCTGCTGGGCAAGAAGCCTTCCCCTGGATCCTTTTACATCTGAT